TAAAAATTATGTCTCTTGTTACTTGAATGAAGAACTCCTGTCCGGTAGGACGCTAGGAGTTTGTGTGAAGTTGAGGTAGACACAAGTCTGCGGCTGAGAAGCATGGTTACTATCGCATGTACGGAAAAGCACTAGGCCGTGATTTATATCTGACCTTTGAATGTAGAAGTCCGGCCTGTCCACCTGAAACCAACAGTTACTAAAGGAGGAGCTGTGTATAGGGAGGTTTCGGTCCGACCTAAATATGCGTTCTGAGTGCATATTTTGCTCTAGACCGAGATTACTGTGGGCCCAATGAGTAAGACCTAATGATTTATTGGACACATGTGTGACCCACGCAAGATTGTTTTCTTAACCAGGTTAGTCATTGCGCCCACTCTCATCCCTGCTCCCTTCTCCCCCTCCCCTCCCGCACAAAAAAAATATATGACGATGGGGAGGGGGGCGTGATTATGAAAATGCTGCCACTGGTCGCAATCGAACTCATGCTCAAGTAACCACCGCCACACCTGATGGGCTGATCCTTATCAAAGTCAACCGATGAACTGCCGGATTAACGGACACAATTCAGACTATTGCCACTGCCAAAAACGATACCTCTCCTCCGTCACCGAGTTAAAAGTAAAAGCCTCACATTTCAGCCAGACTGGCGAAAACGGTTGCGCCGAAGCCCATGAGTTAGCAAAACATTATTCTCGGGAACGACTACACTATGAAAGGCTTCCTACCTCGACACCGTACTGCAAGGAGAGGGAGAGTGGAACAAACCGGAGCAAGTCACAAGGGCATACCAATCGAAAACGGCTTGCCTCGTGGTGGCAAGAAGAAACTTACTTGCTGGAACCCGTGGGTTGCCCACTAGAAAAGCGCGCGTTAACTGATTTCTTGAAAAGGGCCCTCAGTTGTTTGAGAGTGCAGACCCGGGGTAAGTGGGCCACGAAGAGAGTGCGAGAATTGTATTCATCTTGGAGAAAAAAAAGAGGTTCAAAATGGTTATAAGACCGCGGCTGAAAAGTGTTCAAAAAGCAAAAAAAGATAGCAAAGCAAACATTAAAACTGCAGATGAGTCCAAAACATCCAAACTGCGTTCTTTGTGACCGGTATCAGGAACTACTTTGCCCGAATTACGGTGTATAGAAAAAAAGTATTTCAGACGAAACGTTTAAGCCCTAATTTTTGACCAGATGTTTGCCCTTCTGTATGGAGGAAAACGTGGTGTGTTTGGCAAATTCCAGGTGGGAAAATAATGGGCACTTACCTAAACGGGAGAGTACCGATTCCAGCGTTGCATCATCTTGAGTCATTGTGAGTCTAAAGATAAAAGTGCACGCTAGGTATTCAGTTGAGTAATATAATCCTAAGCATATTCATTATGTTAACAATCTTAAAACGCAATTTGCCCTTCCCTCTACTGCCTAAACAATCGGCACGGATGGGCACTTGCAAATCCATCGCACAGACTGACAAACCAGCACTAGGAACATATGTTGCATTCGTCTCAACTGATCGTAATACTAACGCACGCGCAGTTACGACATGGGCCTACTCGGCTACATACGCATTCATGAAAATCTGCGGTAAACCAGAGCTAGGCAAACCACATAAACACACGCACATCACCCTCTAAAGGAGACGGCAAGCGCAATTTATTGTTCCTACGCCCACCCTGTGGTGAAGTACAAGAGAGACATCGTCGGAGACCATAATCAAACTGCACATTCGACGACAAATATGACGAGTTTAAACAGAAATTTTTAAAAAAAGTATGTATGTTGTTAGTGAACGGTATCATTAATACGGCGATAAAGGCCACTATTGATACTGGCGTTGGTGACGGCCGGTCGCTCATAACCGGGACAGTTGGAGTGAAGAAGGTGAGTTCTCTACCGAGAATCGTACTGGTATATTGCCTTTGGTGACTACTGTCGTAGTGCGGGACTGTAACGAGCACTGCATGCAAAAAGACGTGATAACTTCGTACTACACGATTAGCCCCACTCAGTTAAACTGGCCACCACTTTCTGAATTGCATACTTCTCAGCTGACTTCACAACAACAGACCTATGAGTGGTTCCGAAATATATGGTCTCAACTGATCATGCCACATACTGGTCTGGAAGTGTCTTGTAATCAACTTCGCCGCTCGCCACAGAACGAAAGATACAGAGTCCTTAGCATATTAAAAATTACAAGAATCGGGTGTTTCAAAGCAAATAATGACCGAGACAGTGACATTTCCCCGAATAAAAAATCGCTCAAGAAAGACTTTGCCATTGGGAACGCACCAAATAAGTTAGCTAGTACGGAAATGAGATGACCCATAGCTTCTCCCACCGGGGATCAAAAATTACGAGTAATAGGCGTCCTAACTAAGGCTGGATCGAATAAAGCTTATTGCCGCCGGTGCCTCCAACGAGCTAATCATAACTTACTCTTGAGGACAGAGGACTATTGTGGTCAAAGGTAACTGTAGTATGGACTTAGTGGACATTAATTGGGCAGCTTTTTTTCCAAATGGCTTAAGGGATCTGCGATGGTATAAATCTGTCAAGGTAAGCTGATCCTAAGTAGTTAGAGAATACGGTAGCGAGATCTTCGAAATATTTTCGGGTTAAGTTTTTCTTGTAAGTTCGCGATTATTGCATGCTGCATTAGTGCTGCACTAAGGTATTACCCGGTGCAGGGGGAGGCCTCGAAAACGCACTAAGTGCGATGACAGATTGTTTTCTCAACCCGTTTTATCAGGCCAGACGTTGGATATTAAAATACCTTGAAGACGTAAAACTGTTTTGACCTCTGCAACGCCGAGCAAGTTACACTCAAGTACTGGACAAGGTTCCTAATTTTGCTGACCTCAGAATAATCGTCAGAGAATGAGGATTATCTCCAGTTTACCGCCGTTGAACAATATGCTGTCTTTCGAATAAAGGGATAC